TTCAATACATCGAAATACTTCATCAATTCTTTGACACATGTATTGTATTGAATTTCATTTGAAAAAAAAAACAACATCAACTATATGTATTTATTTATATTTAAAATATAAATTCTCATGTACATATAGTTTATATGACCGCGATAAAATATACAAATTTTGTATATTTTTATGTCATATTTTGCATTGAAAACCATTTCATGCTTTAGTTTTTTTTTTCCATTTTTTTTAATCACTTAGTGAAGCCCGATCCTAATGAACGTATAAATATAGACAATACATAATTTATCGTTTATATAATGAAATATTTAAAAAAAAAATTGAAAACTAAAAAGAAAAATATATAAAAAAAAATTAATAAATATATAATGCATAATATTTGCATTAAATGTATATTTGTATGTGTATGTGTGTAGACTCCCCTTTATTCCCATATTTTTTGAAAATTTGATCTAAAAAAAAGAAAATAAGTATTGTAACTAAAATATAAATATTTAACAGAAAGCAATGTTATGTGTGTTGTACTCCCCAGCCATAATAGAGACATACATATTTATTGATTATGTAAAATACAAAATAGTAAAGATTATGATTTTTTAATGTTTTATTTTTGTTATTTTGATTGATTTTTAATATTTTTCTAAGAGCCTAAAAGTAGGCTTTTAAAAGTATATTTTAAGCTGCCTAAATGCAGGATAAAGTTATCATTTACCTATGGCATAAAGATATTTATTTATTTATGAAAAACAAATACTTTTTTAGTTTTGCATGACTATTTTTAATAGCTATTTAAAATCCATTTAATAATTTATTATTTTAAAGTAATACATTTTATCATTTACTAAATCTACAAGAAGAAACTAATATCTTACATCAGTGTTATTAAAGACCTAGTATATAACCTAATTTAGTTAAATGAAAAAAACTTAAAAATCAAAATATAGGGAGTAGTGGAACTGTTTGCAAAACTTGGAAAAAAATAAATTCCGAAAAATTAATCTTCAAAAGCTAATTCACATATATTCTACTAAAGAAAGTAATTCTCTTAATTAAGGAACAATAACCAAAGAATCAACTCCAAACGTAATAGGCTGACAAAATATCTAGTTCTAGCTATAACAGTTCTTTATAAAAGTGTTAATAAATAAAACAAATAAGAAATTATTGTCGGGCGAGGCCGACCATATTATACCCTACACCAGTTACAAGAATAAAATTTGATTTAGTTTTCATAATGAAGCATTTAAGTTGAATTGAACCTTGCTTCAGATTTTCTGAAATAGGCTTTATATAGGACTTTGGTTAAATATTAACCGATCTTCATAGAATTTAGTGGGTGGATTTACGTTTACATAAAATGTATTTATACTGACATTCGACTTTTTAAGCAAATTGTGGGCATTGAACACATATTTTGACGGGGGCTTTGTATAGGGACTAAGGTCAAATGAGGCCCTGTCATTATAAAATTCATCAGGGTCATCAAGGCTAGTATAGAACTTGGTTGTGGAGCTTTTTGTCGAGATACGAGTATATTAAACATAATTATGAACTTAAAAGCCCTAATCGGGGGTTTCAATTGTATGGGGGCTAAGCGAAATAATGGACTGATGTTAACCATTTTCAATAGGCTTCGTCCCTGGAATAATAGAAAATTATGTGCCAAATTTCATTGAATTATCTTCAATATTACGACCTTTAGTTTGATTACAAGGTTTACAAGCCCTATTCGGGGGTTCAGTTGTATGGGGGCTAGGTGAAATAATGGATCTATCTTAACCATTTTCAATAGACTTCGTTCCTGGAGCAATAGAAGATCATGTACCAAATTTCATTGAATTATCTTCAGAATTGCGACCTGTAGTTTGATTACAAGGTTTACATGGACGGATAGACAGACGGACGGACATAGCTAAATCGACTCAGAAAATGATTCTGAGCCAATTGGTATACCCACTAAAGTGGTGTAGGGTATAAAAATCTTAAATAACGTATAATATTTAGCAGGCATGGAGGACTACATTTTCAATTACAATTACATTAGAAGTAATTGAAGATTCACCAATTACAATTACTTGTAATTGTAATTGAAGTTTATCAAATTACAATTATTTGTAATTGAAGTTTCGCAAATTACAATTACTTGTAATTGTAATTGAAGTTTATCCAATTACAATTATTTGTAATTGATGTTTCGCCAATTATAATTACTTGTAATTGTAATTGAAGTTTTGCCAATTACAATTACTTCTAATTGTAATTGAAGAATTTCCAGTTACAATTACTTGTAAATGTAAATTTTGTTCCTTATAATTACATATACTTTTGTAATTAGTAATACCTAAATTACAATTACAAGTAATTTTAATTGGAAACTTCAATTGCAATTACAAGTAATTGTAATTGGCAAAACTTCAATTGCAATTACAAGTAATTGTAATTGGCAAAACTTCAATTACAATTACAAGTAATTGTAATTGGTTATTGGTCAATTACACATTACAAGTAATTGTAACATCAATTACAATTACAAATAATTGTAATTGGTTATTTCTCAATTACACATTACAAGTAATTGTAATTGACCATGTAGTGAATTACTTTGTTTAATCATTACCCCCCATGTCTGATATTTATGGGCTAAATCTCAGTTTTTCAATTTGTATCACAAAAGTCGATTATTAAGTTAACAATGGTTACTAACACCTGTTTTTATATGGAAAAGTTTGTAGTAAATCACACTTTTAATAATCGTGTTTGCATAAGGCAGTTAAACTAGATATTGAACTGATTCCAAAAAGTGATTTTATTCTATATTTCGTTTTTACTTCTTCTATCACATTCCTATACTCACAGATTCTTGAAAAATTCAGTGTTAAGATCAAGTTACTTGCCGAATTTCGAATACAAACGTTAAATCTTTTTTATCATAAACCATTTATTTGCTGGTATTGATTTACATGTTTTGGGAATTCTCTTTTGATCACTGTTTTAAACAAAATTTTATTAAAATCAGCATTAAGCTTAACAAATATAACTGAAATATTTGTATTGACCACGCCCACTTTTAAAATTTTGAAAAATATACTATATAATTCTAATAAAAGTTGTAAATATGATTATATATTAAACGGTTTTACTAAATTATTAACAAACTAATAGCGCAAAGCAAAGGCGGGAAAGTTTGGTTGTGGACATGGTTGTGATAAAAATTTTATCAGATTATTGCATAAACTTTAATACATTTTAAAATTCTTTGTAAAATTGACTCGCATTTTTTCACCTAGGTGCATTTTCTATACAAAAAGTGGGCGTGTCCATATCATATAAGCCTTGATTCAGTTTGCCTTTTTCAAGTTATTTTATTGTACTCAAGAATACCAAAATTACCACTTACATACGAAGTGGGCGTGGGCATGATATAATCTCCCATTTTCTGATGATGTTGTTCTAACTTTTATTATTGTGAACATATGTACTTAATAGGAAGTCTGTACTTTTAAATTTAGACTTTTGTCGTACCAGAATGTACTAAATGTCGCACTGTGCTTTGGTGGTACTGAGGGTGTATCCATAGTCTATAACACAGCCAAAATAAAACGATGTACTTCCAAAAGAATAACATTTATCAGCTCTTCATAAGTAGCAATAAGTAATTTTTACTTTCGGTAGAATTGATGATGACTTCTGAAGAAGTGAAAATAATTGTATTTTTTCAATGCTGAAGATATATTTTCTTTATCTTACATTTTTATGAGTTAAAAAAATTTTATTTTTGGGCTTTTGTATTAAATGTGTCTATTAGCCTTATTAATGTTAATATAATTTAAGTCAAATTAGTCGTATTCTATAATACTACAATTTCACTTCCAAATAACTTCCAAAAAAGGACATAAAACTTAATTTTTGAGAATGTCTTCAAAAGTAGTGAATTTGGAATCAGATAAAAAGCACATCCCTCCTATGACAAGCCTGTGTTAATATCATAACTTTTTCAAGTCTTTTTAAGTACTTCCATGGAGTAAATTCTACAACTTTTTCGCTTATTTGGAAGTTCTGTTTTTGCTGGGAAGTGTAGAATTGCTGTAAGCTTTTATAAAGTCTTTATTAAGGCCTTATTACATTGTTTACTAAAACTTAAGAGAAATCCATCTCATGACCTGGAATATACTTATATTGAATAAATAATTACAAATATAAGATTTCAATCCGTCTTCCTATAATTTTTTTAATCGATAAAATTTTCAATTACTAGCTTTTTACTACTTCCACTATTGTTTTATCCACTATTACTAATTTTAACTAATTTTTATTATGTTTTTAATAAAATATTTCATTTAACCCCTATAAAAGTAAAATCCTTGAAAAACAAAACTCCATAAAGATTGTTCGTTACAAAAAAAAAATCCAAATAAATAATTAAGTTAATTAACATATTTTCTATGTTGTACTCCATATGATATTAAAACCTATTTTTAGCTTTATGTATATTATTTATTTTAATATGAATTATTTATGCTGAATAATTTTATTAATATTTTTTCATTATGGTTTGATTTGATTTCTTAAAACCTTTCCTACTCAAATACTAATCAAAATAAATTGTGGTGGAGAGTAGAAACTCACATGAGAGGAAATCCAAGAAAAAAATATGTTAATAAGGAAAAAAAGGAATAATTAATAAGCATACTTATAACGAATATACTCCTTTTCTAAAGCCTAAAATAAACATAAAACAGAAGCGGGATAAAAAAATTCTTAATTAAATAATAATTTCATTTATATATAAATTACAATCTATATGCTCTTACATATACATTTATACTTATTAATAATTATTATATACTTACATACATACATATGTATACATACGTAGTATATATGTATATATTTATATACACGATGATGTTGTATTTGTTTATGTATTTATATGTGCCCTAACATAAGGACGGCTAAATACTCCACAAAAAAAATTAATTGTAGAAATAATTCGTTTACAGAGTTCAACATGGTAGCTTGCAGGATAACGGATGCCCGTAATATAGCAGCAAATAATCACCATCATCATCAGCAGCCGCCGCCGCACCAGCAGCAGTTGCCGCTACATCATCAAACACCACAGCAACAACATTTACAACAGCAACATCATCAGCAAAATCAACATATACAACAACAGCATCAACATCATTTACAACAAATGCATAATCGTAATACGGGCTCGATTTCCGCTAGTCAAGTGCCTTTAAAAAAGTAAGTTTTTCTACACATTATTTTTCTCGCTCCTTTTTTTTCGAAATTTGTTTTGGAACTTTTTTGTTGTTACATTACATTACTTTTTTTTTGTTTTGTATTATTATTTAGTACTTTATATTTGTTTCTTAAATTAACTTTTTTTCTATTTGTTTGTTTATTGTGTTTGTTTAAGATTTTGTGTTGTTTTTTTATAAGTAATTAATATTTCTTTTTAATTTGTTATACTACGAAGTGATTTGAATAGGATGACTAACTTAGGCACATAGATTGAAATATTTTTTCTTAGCATGTCCTTGCAACTTTAGATGTATGTATATATGACTTCTCATGAATTTTAAAGCCCAGAAGTAGCATTTTGGAATTTGAATTTTTTTTAAATTTAAACAAAAGAAAATGAAAGTGACCTTTTTCCCCCTTTCTGATATCAGCGCCAAAATAACTTCACATCTTTTAAGACCTAGAACGTATCAAACTAATTATATCATATCAGAACTGAAGTGTATTCTTGATAGAGAGTTCTGAATAAATCGAAACAAGCAACAGTGAAACTGACAAGATCTGGTCTATAAGGCCGGTGAGACCCTGTGATAGTTTAGCTAGATTTTAGCCAATCATAATATAAAGGACCTTTTTAGTTCCACCAACTACAAAGCACTACCGTAGGCTACGGATATGATTTGGCTGGTTGACCAAACTTCATATACGACCGCTTAGTCGGTCCAGTTTTCATCGCACGTAATGATTTGGTCAAAAATTAGTTTCCTTTACAGCGTTTAGTCCCCGGGCGGCTCCCGCCGGGGCATGTTTCCTTGATGAAAAACTCCATCTTGGTGTATTGCAATCCCGGGGTATAGAGCTACCAATACTTCGGGACTAAAAGCTGGTGATGATTTAACATGATTTGACCAGAGTACCATAGTACCGGCTGCCCACAGTATCTAACCCTGACAGGTCGATTGGTTGAGGTTACTGCGGGACCCACGTAGTGGCTGTGGTTTATACCCAAATTCGCGGGGAGAGAATGTTGGTTTAATGCCAAATATGTCTGGATTCTCTCTCCGGTGTTGTTGCCATCTAAACAGATGTCACTGGGTGATGTGACAGAACAACGTATGCTGTATTCCTGAACCCGTTGAGTATCTCTTACTCCTCGCGTAGTAGGGCGCCAGTATATGTTGGGGAATTTTCAGGTTGACACTTGGTAGTTGCCTGTCATTTCGTAGATCGTTCTTTATGGCCTGAGAATGTAATGATCTGGAAAGACTCCTTTGCCCGACAGTAGACTAGTACTGATTTAGTAGACTTTTTACTTCAGGGAAGTTATCGGTGCTGTTGCCATCTCAACAGGATTCATATTGTTTCATGCTACGCGACATATGTTAGGTTGAGGTCCGTTCCCTCAACTTGTCGGGGCAATTATTGGGTTCGAATTGACTTTGGAAATTTCTACATCCATTGTCACATTATCTGACATACAGAAGGATCCTAATTAATTGGTTGGGTATTTCGGACTACCGAATACGTCTCTAGGTGCTGTTGCCGAATCAACAGAGCACTCTCAGTAGTGTGGTTGCTCGAGCTTTAAGAGGAATGCACTGGAATGGGTCATTAGTTGATGGGGATTGCATTTTAAATAATGCAATCTTTCATGACATCATAAGGGTGGTCACTTTATAGCCCCTATTGACATTAGACCAGTAATTGCTTTTTCCTTGTCGGGGTTTGCATTAGGATTGATCGCATGCTGCCTGTCATTCCACAACGGGGCTACTATGGCATGGACCGGCTCAGCCATGTACACCTAAGTTCTTCATAGAAGGATTCAGTCGGTGCTGTTGCCGAAACAACAGATACTCCACAGAAGAGTGACTGTGAGACTAATCATTGTATATGAGTTAGTGTTGAGTGTATATAATACAGGATGAATGTAGAGAGGTATACGGATCTTACCCGCCCGTATACCTAGAGTGAGTGTGTCGGATTCTCTTGGGTGTTTCTATGGGTGTTTCGAATGAATGAGAAGTGTGTTGGGTTGAATGGTGATGGATGAAAGGTATCTTTTAAAAGTGATACTATTGAATTTTCCTTCCATGTCATGGGGAAACTCTAATCAACCAGATTTACCACAGTGAGTAAGAACAAAGTCCGCGTCTTATATAATAGATTCGTTTTTCGGTCTACCGAATACGTCTCTAGGTGCTAATACCGACAGAGGCCATCTCATCTAAGTGGTTGTAAAAGGATGTGATGTATTTGCATCTCGGATGTTAAGCAATCATAGGCTGATACCCAGTTTTGTCCATCCATCCTTTTGCTTGTCCATTGTTTGTACGAATTAGAAATGTTAGGTTGTCAATAACTATAGAACAAAATGACTATTCGACATCTAGAAATTAACAAAAATAAAATAAGTTTTAACCAAAGGAATCTAGGCTAAAAAGTTTGATACAATACAGGAGTTATAAGAATCTAAAGTTAAAGTCATGGATGCTTCTCAACCCATAGATCAACAGATTTGGATCGATATAATGAGATAACTTGAGTCAAGACCTCTGTTAATCTAATCTGTGCCTTTTTATTGCGTACCAAACAAAGATGTTATCCTATTCAAATGACTCGTGCTTTTAACTTTAATATTTTGATTAATTTGTTTGTTATTTTCTTATTGTTGTTCTTTTTACATTACTTTGTCTTATTTATTCTTATTTTATTTTTAATTATTTTAATGATGATATAATTTTTGTGCTTCTCTTGTTTGATTTTATTTCTTTTGATTATCTCATTAATATTTTTTTGATTTTTATTTTTCAACTTTGTAACAATTAACATTTTTTTATTTGTTTTTTAATGTTTTGTTTGCTTAATAATTTTCTTTATTGTGGTATATTTTCTTAATTTCTTTACTTTTGTGCTTTTAAATTAACATTGAGTTTAATCTAAGAATTTCTGTTTTTTTTTCTCGTCTCATCTAATTTATTTTATGCTTTTAAACATGAATTCTCTTAGCAATACTGATCATTATCGTGATTATGAAACCGTTTTCATAGTACCAGGTCCATCATGCCATAATCAAAATCGTAAGAGTTTATTCTAACAATATGATATTAAGGCAAAATTATTTATACATATTATTTGGAATATTGACACAAAACAAAAATTATGTTAAAACTTTTATTTTGGTATTATTTAGAAATTGTAAGAAAAAAAGCTGAAAATAAATAATATTTAAACTTTTTCCTACAATTTTTAGAGCAAATTTTGCAAAAATTTAATTACTTGTATAAAATTTGTTATTAACATTTTTAAGAGATTTAGTTTTTGCAAAATTTGTTTATTTAATATTCATATTGTGTATATAGATTGGCTGTTTAATGTGTGTGTGTGTAGTTAAAATTGTTGTTTTATTATTTTGTAATTATTCTTCATTGTTTTGCATTCATAACCATCAAATTATTCATACATACTACATATGAAATGACCCTTTAAACGTATGAGTATTATTTAATTTGAATGTGTAATAAATATTGCTCATACGTTATATATGCAATAATTTATTATGCAATTTTAAGTTTAAAGGAAAGTTTAATAAAATTGGGTAATATATTTTATATATTAAACTGTAATTAATATTAATCACTCTCAACTGAAGAATACGATATGATTTAGCAAAATCATTAATTTTTATCTAATAAGAAAGATATAATATTTTTAAATATTTGTTTTTATTCAATTCAAATTAAATTATTTTATATTTTATATTGTAGCGTTGCATTGTTGTATGTCATAAATTTGTTTATTATAGGTTTGATTTTGAACCAAAAATGAAACAATTATTAAACATTACGACATACAACGATGCAACGTCCAAAATTATACCGATATCGGAATTTTCAATCGCTGATAGGGAATTGAGGACCTTTAAAAAAACGCTTTTATTTTTCTCTTGTTCATTACAGTGACGCATCGAATGAAAGTTATTATACCCTACACCACTATAGTGGGGAGGGTATTATGCGTTTGTGCTGATATTTGTAACACCCACCTTAAAGTATACCAATAGGCTCAGAATCACCTTCTGAGTCAATTTAGCTATGTCCGTCCGTCTGTCTGTTTGTTTGTCTGCCTGTCTGTCTGTCTGTCTGTCTGTCTGTCTGTCTGTCTGTCTGTCTGTATGTCTGTATGTCTGTATGTCTGTCTGTCTGTCTGTCTGTCTGTCTGTCTGTCTGTTTGTCTGTGTGTCTGTCTGTCTGTCTATGTGTCCACGTAAACCTTGTGCGCACTCTACAGGTCGCAATTTTCAAAGATTATTTGATGAAATTTGGCACTCTTCTTTTGACCCAAGGACGAAGCCTATTGGTTAAAATCGGTTCATTATTTCGTATAGCCCCTATACAACCGTAACCCTCGAATAGGGCTTTTGAGCTTTTAATTATGTTAAATGTTATTGCATCTCTACTAAAATCGGCAAGGCTTAGTTTTATATATGTATAAATGATACTGCTGATTTTTGTAATGATCGGGCCTCATTTGACCCTAGCCCCAATACAAAGTCCCCTCCAGAAAATGACTTGATGGTCAAAATTCACTTATAACTATATTATAAGTCCGCATGTCTAACTTTAAACGCAAATCCCTCTACCTAAATTTATAGGGATTGGCCCATATTTGTCCAATTTTGACAACAAATTTTTAAAATATTTCGGAATTAAAGCAATAAACAACTTAAAGCGTATATCATTTGAAATAAATTATATTTTTAAATACTACTCAATGGTGTAGAGTATCATATGGTCGGCCATGACTGACTATACTTTCATACTTATTCCGTCATGAGATTCTTAAAAATGCAGTTCATCTGAAGACTCAATTGATCATGTTTCTAGAAAGCAAAGAAAGTTCTGAACATTTTCACACTAGACTAGACACTAGGCAATACAAATCTACTAAAAAGACAAAAAATCAAATGAAACTGTCCAATATATTCTTCATTTTTAGTTTTCGTCTAAATTGATGTTTAGACTCTTCTTTAGGTTGATGATAGAAACAAGCTTATGCGAAACAAACCACTTTTATTTAAATATTGTTTCATCTTTCAATAGAAACATCAAACTATCAAATCCGATTTTCTCAAATCGACTAGCATTACTTAAATGATAATCTTGTAGTGATATGTGATCCATATGTAGCAGTATTAGACCGGAGAGAGGCATCAATCAATTCACATCAATTGCTCCAATTCATATGCGTATAATTTCATGTTAATTCTCTCTCTATATATCTCTCAAGTATGCTAACAGATCAGAACTTAAACATTAAATCATCATCAATCATGTCATATAATCGCATTAAAGTCTTGAGCCTAAAGAAAAGTACAACAGTTTTTAAATTATTTATAGTTTTGTCGTTAAATTGTCGTTAAATTTTATGGCCGGGCCTTTGTGTTAAGATATCCCATGGAAGTATACATTTACACAAGTTTCCCACTATTTTAATTTATAAATTTAGAATAAACTTATGTATCAATATATTTCACAAATTCTTAAATAACATAACTCGTATTGTCCTTAGAATATATGTACTAACATGTAAATATGTGTAACTTTTTGTGTATTTTTAAACAAACCGTATGCTGGATGATGTTATAGATCAAAAGGTTGGCATAATTAACTAATATACATACTAACAAATTGTAGTCTCTAAACCAAACAAAATAGCATGATCCTAAACACCTTAATTGTTGTAAAATTATGCACTATTATCTTATATTTCCAATAACTTATATTAAATATTTACAAAAACAAAAATTTCCCCAATTTTCACATTTAATTAGATATAAACAAACCCGAATATCAAGTTTAACAACAATACTCATTGCTATACTACACTGGATATGGCCACCGGATCGTTGCACCAATTGTCACTCTATCTATAGTTCACCACAAATGGATGAAGGAGATGGTCAGAAGACTGTAACGGAGATACAACGTTCTCGTGATGGTCGTTTTGTGGTCGCTGGAAAAACGAATGCCTTAACGAATGGTGATATACTAGCAGATGAGGGCATCGATGAGGTAGATGGTGTGCCCGGTACACGTAATAGTAGTGCTTCGCAGAAATCATCTTCAGATGATGGTGGCTTTCTATCACGTCGTAATTTTATAACAGCTCGAGCTTCATGGCGTCGTCCATTGGTACAATCGCCCAGTCAATTGAGTCTACAATCGGTGGCAGCTGGTTCAGCTAGAGGATTTCTACAGGGTTTGGGTGGTTTGCTTAAAATTGGCGGCACTCTGGGTGGTGAAAATGTTGGCAGTAACATCAACAGTGGCGCCAGATATCAAAATGTCTATGGTAGCAATTTGTATCGTAATCTTCACCATCACCATCATTTGGGTAGACAACACCAGCAGGCTCAACCTGCTAGCAGACCTTTGCATATAAATACGATTAGTGGTGCGACTGCAGGACATCATATGCATCAAGTATTTTCTCCTTCGAAGGTGTCGCGTATATTTTCCAGTTCCCCCGCCAGTACACCAAATGATCAAAATTTGCCAGAAGCTGGCCTTTTAACATCACCCTGGGCTTTAACTACACCCAATCATACCAACACTTTCTCGTACAATCATTTTAGTGACTTAAGTACCGTGTATCCTGGTTCAGCTGAAAGATCGGTGCCTACATTAACTCCTACAGCCAGTGGAAATTTGAGTAGATATCGTTATTATTCACATGAGTTGCCTTCGCTGAGAACCATACAGGAGGAGACTAGACGTTTGAATTATGAACAGCAACAACAGCAGCAGCAACAACAACATTATAGACAAGACTTTTTGCCTTTGCAGTTGGATTCACCACCCTCCTGGCGGAGTTACTACCAGCACAGTCAGGCTCCTTATTATCACAGCTATAGACCGCGTACCCGTTGGTATCCCAGACATTATTCACGTTTATTCGGTAGACCACAATCCGATCTAATGTCTCCTTTACCTCATCTCAATCTTTCAATGAGAACTACCAGCAATCATTTATTAGGTTTAGATGCCTCACCAGAATCAAGATCTAGTTCTTCAGGTTTTGGTTCCAAAAATACCTCTAATCATCCACAAGGATCTCATCATTCTGGCAGTACTAGTGAATGGCGTTTATTGCCACCCTATAGACCACCACCTCCTCCACCAGCAACAACAAATAATACAGCTTACTTTGGTTCCGCAACTACTACAGCTAACCAACAACCTCAACAGGCCCAGGGACAAGCTCCAGTAACGCAAAATCATCAACAGCAGCATCGTTCACAGTTTAATACATTGCCTAGCAGCTATGAACCCTACTCACCTTCCAACTATTTCAGTTCCAGTACCCAAAGAACCCTTACACCACCCTATACCATGGAGCATTGGCTGGATATGATAACACGCCTCAATGCGGCTACTGATAATGTCAATCTACCCAAATCAGTAGATGTAGGCAGTGTAGATGGTCATTATGAATTCGATCCATCCACACCGACTCCCAGTGCCTCAACACCAACCGGAGGTCTACTACGCGAAGATCTCAATTTACATATAGACACCACTGGTCATCATTTGCACCATCACCACCATCACCTAGCCCAACAACACAACCATCTCCATCATCAGCAGCACAATTCTCACAATGGTCAACACTATCATCACAATCATAGTCACAATCATCAACATGGTCAGCATCACACTTTAGGCCCCTTAAGTTCTTCATCATCCCTATTTCATACACAAACTTCTGCAACATTTCCCAATATTTCCGGTTCCGCTACTCTTGGTGGTGCCGGCATGCGCAAATCTCGTGTACCAGGTCGTTACGACAATATCGAGGCTCGTTTGCAGGCCATGAAGGAGGAATTCTATGAGTATCGCAAACGACAAGCAATGCAAAGAGCAGGCGTTTCAGAGCTGGAAAGTGTTTGCTGACATTGAAGTTGTTAAAGGTTTTCAATTAATTGAGAAAAGCCTCAGAGGCATTGCTTTAGGTTTAAGAACAAAAGAAAAAAGTAAAAGTAAATTGAATGTGAAGTGTAAGTGTAAAGTTCAAAGATGCTAAAATGACTGAAAACGTTTGTTTTAAAGGAATTAATTGTAGACTTATGGCCTGATTAAGACAAGCATTTATGTTAATTTGGGTTTGTTTTTGTTTTTTTTTTTTTCAAGTATTTCTAAGGTATTGTGTTTCTAACTAATTGTGAATTTATGCTAAATGTTTCAAATTTGAAATAAAATCCAAAAACGAGTTTTAATATGAAGTTTTGCAGTAATGCACTAGTAATTTTTGTAAAGTTTAGCTAAAAGCAAAGAAATTTTAACAGATTGTTGAACTTTTAGACCTGAAAATGAATGTTTTAAAAGTTTTTAAGAATTTCTCACATCACAAAATATATTTCATACATTCCATCAATCTAAAACAATCAAAATTTAACATCATTCAAAGAAAAAAAACCTCAATAAATAAATTAACAAAAAACCAAATAAAAAACAACTTTAAAGAGCACTGATTTTTCAATTATTAAAATAAAAAAAAACATCAACTTATAAAAAAACAAGCATGCAATACACTCAAGAAAATAATGTTAGTTGTAATGTAAAAAAACATGGAAATTAAATAAATAAAAAAAACTCTTCCACGAATTATTTCTTTAGTAAAGAAACCCACAAAATATATTAAACAAAACATTAACGAAAACTTAGCGATTTCAAATTAAAACCACAAAACAAAAAACGCGTAAATATTTAGGAAAAAAAACAAATAAATATTAAAAATTAACAAACAAAAAACACAATTAGTAGATTTAACACAATTTAGTAAAAAGAAAATGAAAACAAAAAAATAACCAAAAAAAACCCTTTAAATATAATAAAAACCATTGTAAAATATTTACTAAAACCAACAGAAGAAAAAAACAACAACAACAACTTAAATTCATTATAACAGACGTACAGTTTTTTAGTTAACACAACAAAAACAATTTATTTAAACAAAAAATCTTAGTTAAACAAATAAAATATTAAAACTAAAAACCTTATAAGTTTAGTTTTAGGTTAAACGAAAAAAAAATAATTAAAAATTTAACAAAACTTGTAAATATAATTTATAATAATTTTAAAAAAAATAAAACTGCAAACAATAGCAATTATTAAACATATTGAGGAAATAAAAATAAAATTTAAATTATATATAAATAAAAGTTAAAAAATTATATATAAAAACAAAATAATAATAAATAAATAAAAATAAAAAAACTTAAACATAATCCCTTAGCATTTTCAATAAAAACATAAAATAATTAATTATTAATTTTACGAAAACCAAAATATTTAATATTTTATAGATTAATGAAAAAAAAAAAATGTTAGAATTTTTTTTTATTATTATTATTTTAAAAACATTTTGGTTATATTTAAGGTTGGTAGTAGGTGGTAAAAAGCAAAAGAGGATTTTGTATATGAAATGTTAAAAATAAAAACTAAACAAATATTTTAGAAAAATTTCAATTCAATATCTTTATAATATAGAGATAAAAGCTTTATAATACAGCTTATCTATTTATAAATGAAGGAAAATCAAGACAAGTACGAAGGTAGTTAAATAAAGAAAAAGCTCGACAATGTTGATAATTTCTATTGATATTAACGATCCAAAAGTCTTTTATTACATTTTATTCTTTTTTAAAGAAAAGCTTTTACAATAAGTTTAAATATAGCAGTTGTGAAGTTTTCAATAAAATGATGTATTTAAAAGCTTTTAAAAAATTTTCAACAGAAAGCTTGAAAAATGTTTTCAACAGAAAGCTTGAAAAATGTTTTCTACAGAAAGCTTGAAAAATGTTTTAATATATATTTGACACGATTTCGTGTTAAATTTGTAAATTAAGTTTTGTCAACAAATTCCTTCGATCAATGACAATTTTTCTGTAGAAAGCTTTCGGCGTTTAAATAGAGAAAAAGCTCAATATTGTAGATCGTCTTTCTTAATACAAACGCTCTAAAAGTCTTCTATTGTATTCTATTTTTGTTATAGAAAAGCTTTCACAATAACTTTAAATATAACTGTTTTCAGAGATTTTTGTGAGATTTGTTATTATTTTTTTATAAAAAACTTTCTTTCATAAAAGTTTTCTATATGAACCCTTCTGCTCGATAATGTTGATCATCTCTTTTGACATAAACGATCTAAATAAATAAAACTCTTCTTTGGTATTCTCTTCCTTGTTATAGAAAACTTTCGCCACAACTTTTCTATATATATTTTTAACGAAACATTTTTGATATGAAGCTATCGACAGAACAGATAAAAGCTCTATTCGATTATCTTAAAATTTGACAACAACTTTAAAATATTACTGTTGTTATGTTCTGTATAAAAAGCTTTGAGCACAATACTATTTAAAAACTTTTGCGAAATAGGAAAAAGCTCTCTCTATTCGGTGATATTAAACTTTGACAACAACTTTAAAATACTGTTGGTATGTTCTCTATAAAAAGCCTTTCGCACGATATTATTTAAAAATTTTCTGCAGAATAGGGAAAAGCTCTTTTCGATGATCTTAAATTTTGTTCTCTATAAAAAGCTCTGCGTATGATATTATTTAAAAACTTTTGCGAAACATTCTTCTCAACAAAATTTTTTAGATAATGCTTTCAAACGAGAAGCTTTCCGCGTTTAAATAGAGAAAAAGAGATCGTTAACAGCTGGGAAGCTTTCGGCAAAATATGTTTTATTAAATTAAGAAAATGTTGATAATTACATTTTCGATAGAAAAACATTCAATTCATTACAATTTTTACGACAAATTTTTAATAAAATGTTTTTCAAACTTTTTATAGAATATGTTAAATAGTTTTGTAGAGAAGGCTTTTGTGAAAAGATTTTCCTAGAAATCTTTGATGACTAGATTTTTCTTTCGAAAGTGATTTCTTTATAAACAAATTTTTTATAAAAAAAATTTAACAAAAATATTTTGAATAGAGGCAAGCTTTCTGCTGTGTCTTCTAAGAAAACTTTACAAATTTTGAACAAAAACTTTTTAGCTTAAAACTTTTTTTCATTTTTTTTTTTAATACGGTGAAAATCATGTACGATAGAAGACTTTTCGAAAGCTTTTCGGCACAATTTCTTGTGAAACCTATTCGTAGTTATTTTTGAGAACCAAAAGAACTAAAATTTACAGTTAATTAGCCGGCATCTACCGATGCCGAAGATGTGACATAAAATTTTTGATAATCCTGGTACCTAACTGGTCTCTTCAGATTTGTATATTTTAGGGGCAAGTAATTCTATACATTAATGCAATTTTAAGGAGCTCAATCTCTGCTAAAACTTAACTATTGATTTCGAAGTACATTTAACAATGATTTTTTGGAGCCAGACATTATATTTAAAACAATTTAATCTGTGATTTTATGAACTTTCTATTAAATAAATTTACAAAATTTATAAACTCAATTTTAATAATAAATTTCCCATTTCCAACACATAAATATTAAAGCAAAACTAACAACTATACAATTTGTTATGTTTTACTAACAATATTATATAAACAAACATATTATGTGTACAAAATATATAGCATACTTTTGGGCGTGATGAATTTACAAAGTGTTTTGCATACTTTCCTAGAATTTGTGTAAGAAATAAATTCTTATGTCTGCAAATATACTAGTATAATACCATTACTAAGCATACATAAGTATATTATATTATCTTTACACTTTCAAACTATTGCCAACAAAAATCACTATTAATTTTAGACCAACTATCAACCTTAATATAAACGAACAAGAAAACTGAAAACATGTGAGATATATAAAAAGTAATTAAATAATTATTAAATGAAAATATATAAAACTTATATATAACAATTTTTATGATTATATATTAAGATTGTTAAATAATATTAACACGATCATGGAAAAGATAATTTAAAAAACAAACCTAATAATTTTTAAGTATTTTTCCCAAGAAAAAAATTAAATAAAAAACATAATTATAAAAAAAATTAAGAGACTAATAATGATTGAATTTTTTTTAATAAAACCAAAAAAATAAACACCACAACCCAAGTAAAAAATTAAAACAAGAAATGTTTCATTAATTCTTAAGTATATTGAAAACAATTAAACAACAGAAAAGAAAATATGTTAAAAATAATAATATAATAATTTCGAAAGCACATTATTTAAAATAAAACCAAAAAACTAATAATACAAAAGTAAAAACAGGAAGGATATTGAAAAAAAACGGAAATGGAAGAGAAGACATTTTTATGGATGTTCATTAGGGTGGCAACGAAATAAGTTCATATTAATTTTGCAAGAATTGTATAACAGTTAAAACTGCTATTGGTAACGTTCGATTACCTCCATATACATAGATATTAAACCACCCTTATGTTTATATATCCTTTGCCTTTTGTAAACAACTTCTCAAAGAAACTTGAAAATTCATAATACAAACTGTGTAATCTTAGAAGTGCATCCTCTAAATATTTGAGAAGTTTTCGAAATACTTTTTTTTCCTAAAGTGACTTAAGTTTTATGAACATTGAAATAATTTAATTTGAAATGCATTATTTTACATATGTTCTGCTCTGCTTGAGAAAGACAGCAGAACTTGAATGAACAGCCTGTTATATAAGGATTTAACGGGGATTTTAATTGTATAAGTTCTTCGTTATTTCTTTACTAAGAGTAATGTTAACTGTGACCACAATATTCACTTTACAGTCCCCTTAGTACTCTAAGATCGCTTTTATTGAGCTCTTGCCTTTGTCCCTTCGCTTGCGTTATAAAATGCTTTGTATGCCTGAGCCTTTGGTATATCCATGTGGAATGCCAAAGAATGGAGACAATCTCTATTTTATATAATATAATTTGCTAGGAAATCAGCTCGTTCTTTTCTCGCCTGGTATTCATCTACATTTTTAAAAAAATGAACGTAATCAGACACATAGTCCATTACAACAACCGAACTAACTTCATACGATAATATGCTAGAAGTAATATTATTTTCCTCATGCACTACCTAATACATATATATAAAGATTGCGTAAATATCTGCCAGAAATATTGAAAAATATTTTCCCAAGGGAGAGCCTTCTGAAAGATATAACCCTATAGTTTTACCTTTTATTTGTTTAGACCCATCAGTGAAACAAACATAATTAGGATTTTCTTTCCACCAAGTCTGATTTGTCTACTTATACCTATTCGCTATAATAACTTACAATCGGGAACCTAAATGTATGAGTCATTCATGAATAGTTTGAGTATACTCATATGTCCTACCAAGTCACTGGGTCTCAAACTGGCAATTCCTTTTAGGTGAATGGATAAGGATATAAATTCCAAAGTTGAGAGTATAAAGCTTTTCTAATGCTTTCCAATTACCCTCTCTTTTTTACAAAACTTTAACTTTTAACTTGAAAAGCTTTTAGACAAAAGCTTTATTCTTTATAAAAGTTTTTCTGCAAAACGTTTTAACAATAAATTAAAGAAAGATTAAATATAAAGTTGAACTTTAGACTTAAAATTCTTTTAGTGGAAAGCTTTTCGAATGATTTGTACAAACTTTATCGGAGAATATTTCACAGATAGTAATTTTTAAGTTATTAAGCATTTAATATAGAAAGCTTTCAACTTTAGACTTGAAAAGCTTTTGGTAGAAAGCTTTTCGTGTGATTTCTATAAACTTTCTTAGAGATATTAATAAGAAAAGCTTTTTGACTTTGAGTTGATTCTTTATAAAAATTTTTCTGAAAAACGTTTTAACAATAAAGAAGTTTAAATCTAAAGACCAACTTTAGCCTTGAAATGCTTTAAGTAGAAAGCTTTGCGAATGATTTATACAAACTTTATCGGAGAAAATTTCACAGATAGTAATTTTGAAGTTATTAAGCTTTTAATATAGAAAGCTTTCAACTTTAGACTTGAAAAGCTTTTTTAAGAAATCTTTTTGAATTATTTCTGCAAACTTCCTCAGAGATATTAATAAGAAAAGCTTATTGACAAAAGCTTTTCTAAAGTTTTGAGTTATTTCTTTATAAACGTTTTTCTGCAAAACGTTTTAACAATAAAGAATGTTTAAATCTAAAGATCAACTTTAGCCTTGAAATGCTTTTAGTAGAAAGCTTTGCGAATGATTTAT